TGGGAGTTTTTCTTTCTACTCTCTTGGGAGTTTGTAGGTTGTTTTAGTGTGTTGTGGTTTGTTTGTTGTTGGTAGGTAGGCTTTAGACTACACCTTGTGTAGTTCTCCCACCTAAATTCAGCTGGTTGACTGGTTTCTCAGCTAATCTATGAATGTGCATCATCTTCTTAACAATTCCCGGGTTCGAGAACCTTCCTTTCGCCGACCTTATTCCAATATAACGATGATCTACATCTGTGCTCGTACAAAGCCTCGTACGGTGCCATCTGAAATGTCGTCTGATAACTAATTTTATAGGCGAACTCTACAAGTGACAAGACCTCCTCCCACGAGTCACCTCGATCCAAAACACAAGATCTCAACAGGTCATCAAGTGTCTTGATCGTCCGCTCCGACTGTCCATCTGTCTAGGGGTGATAAGCATTACTAAACTTCAGCCTCGTGCCCATAGCACGCTGCAGGCTAACCCAAAATCTAGAAGTTACCCATGCGCTTCGGTCAGAAATGATCGGCACAGGCACTCCACGAAGTCGAACTTGTCCCCTATCTCAACAGCAGACTCATTCCGTTCAGGAGTGAAAGAGTCTCAGTCCCTTACTTACAGCTGTCCTCGACTCAACTGGCCTGCTCAACGGCTAATCCACTCGAGTGCTCAACCTAAAGCGAAGATTTCTTTCTTTTTTTTTGTTATCAGCAAGCTGTAGATTCGAGGTGCGTGCAACCATGTCTCAGTCAAAGGGTCGGCCGACAAAAGTATCTCCTCTATATAAAGTCGGGCATTCTGCTCTACTCTCACAGTCATCCGCACTGGCGGAAAATGTTAGATATGCTGTAAAAGCTTGGCTTTCATATATTGCTAATACCATTTTGATCTGTCAATCGTGTTTTAGTCAAAGTATTTATATTTGCAGTTTATTTATTTATGCAATCATAACTACATTATTTTACACTGTAGATAATATGGGTCGTCGTGTCGAATTGAAAGATCATATTATCGGTTCCTTGTAAAATATAAATTTATGGTTCACAGTTTAGATAGGCAGTGAGACTCCTGTTGGAAAAAGACTGTAGTGTAGTCTTGATTCAGTTGATCTTTAACTGATGGATCACACTAGTACTTATGATAAGCATTGAACGGACCGCGAAAGGATAAAATTATAAGATTTACTGAACATTGTTATAATCTAGACCTTCAGTTATTGATGCGTTCTCTTAAGCTGTAAGATAATATAAAATAGGCATATATATATTTATTACTTATTTATTTGATTTAACAAGGGTGATTCCTGTTCTGTTAGGATGACATACTCACTATTTTGGTAAGTAAGAATATTTATATAGTTTGCCGTTAAAAATTATTTACAGTCACTATGTCACAGTGCGCTGGGTTGATGACGTCTCCGAAATGAGCTCAGGAAGGAATATTATGTCAAACTCTGCAGGTGGATAATTATCCGGCATAATTATTATTGAACTGAGTTGTACTAATTTCGAAAATGAAGAAGTCAATTTAATTTAATTGTCAGTAATTAAATTAATTGACGGATGTTATATCTTAAACATGGGGAGGTAATTCGGTCAATGGGATTAATTAATTAATTATTTATTTATTTAATTAATCATTTGGAGGTTTGATTTATTGAATAAATTGGAGCCAAATGGGGAGAGCAATAATAATATTCTAGTGGGATATATTATTATTTAATTCTAATTAGGATTTTAGGAATTAATTTTATTCTATAAATAATATTCCATGATTAGGAGAATATTTCTTCTAGAATATTACCTAGGGTTAGGAGACTTAAGAGTCTTCTAGAAGATGATGTTAGGAGAAAGGAATCATGGCCTAGTTGGGATTAGTATATGGAGTGGAATTAGGATTCCTTAGCCTAATGGGATAAGCCCATATTTGGCACCTCCTTAAGGTCCCTAATGGAGCCTATAAATACACCATGTCCCAACCTCTTCCCCTACTATTGATTAAGCTCAATTTTAAGGTCTTGTACAAGAGAGGAATATCAAAATTAATACATATCGAGAGTTAGGGAGTTTCGATTAATCGCACCACTAAGATTAGTCGAAGTAGGTGTTAAGGTAATCCGTTAGAAGATCTTAAGGTGAGATATATCAAACCTTGAAGATCATATTTTTCCGGCCATCCTCCACCGTCGACCGCCGCCCTGCGTCATCGTCGACATCGCCGGAAAACCGCCGCTGCCACCGATCGCGACCGAGATCTGCCCGAGCCCAGCCGCGCGTCGATCG